TTAACATTTCATTGATGACCCCAAAGGCTCGCATAATACAATTTTTATTCCTAATATATATAATATTACCAGTAATCATACGGAAACACGCTCGGTTAATAATCTCTGTCTCCTTGTTCAAGGATTCTGACGCTCAGTTTTAAAAATCAATATGATACACATGCTCAAATAATAATCTCTGTGTATCACGTTTTAGAACCAAATATTTCATCTGAATAAAGTGAGTGAATTGAACTGTACCTAAAAATTCAGAAAATATACAAAAATGTCTATAGACTCTATTAAATACAGTTTAAATGTTTGGAACTCGAGGATATATGACCGCGATTCCTAAGGACTCTCTACATGCTCAGAACATCGCTGTCATTCATTGAACACTTACCCTGCATAGTCTCTCCTTGTCCACGATGTTATGGCCAAGAGCTTTAACGCACATCCCATGGACTTTATTGTAATTGTCATCATGCTCATGTTAATAAGAGCTAAGTATTTAATAAAATATTCAATACATGTAATTGCAATACACACAACCTAATAATGCCATGCTAAATCAAAACAAACAATGTTTATTAGCTTGTGTGTGGGAATCGACAGGCTTGATGTTGTTACCAGAATTCAGTTAACTGTTAATCGTTGTATAACAGTACTATAAAGTAATATTATATGTTATCATGATTGTAGCGACAGAAAATTGTTAGGAATTCATTTTTTGAATTTTTTGATAAAATTTTGTCCTCAAATTTCAGTGAAACATTGTCATGATCAGCTGCGGTGTAGTACTTAAAAAATTATTGAATTTTTTTTTAATTTAATATTGTCAGTATAATATGTTTGACTATTCACTATCATCTTCAGTGAGATATCGGTATCAATACACTTATTAATTTCCCCAACCATACAACTCATCATACTTTAATTTAATTCAAACTATAAAAATATATCCTCCTCAATTGCTAATATGTTGAAAATTTTCAATTTTGAATATGTTTCTAAAACATGATATTGATTTTCTTTACAGTGCATTCAGTGGAATGTATTTCCTTCAGGATAGCGTGCATTAATATGTGCGTGCCGATGTGCGTACACTCCATTTGATTAGCTGAAACAGTGTTGTGGACGCGTACAGGGTATTATGTAAAATTTAACATACACGGCTAATGCAAGCACAGCTGACATGTATTCTCAATGATCCAATATCAACCTCATGAGTTGTTGTCAGATGTTGAAAAAACAGCTCTGCATTTTGATTTAACACACATTTTGATTAGCATGAACTGTAAATTACAGTCTGTTTGGGTCAGAATGATACAGATGAATCACAATCTAACTCCAAGCTGGTACATGATGAAAACATTCATTTCAAAGCCGAATGTAATGAAAACATCAGACCAACTCTGAAAATAAAGTTTCATAATGTTTGTCTCCAAATAAAAAGTTACTTAACTATCATCATTTTGATTTGATTTCCATGTGAAGTTTTACGAGGGTGAAGTAACAGTAAACTGTTGCAGGAACAGCCCCAAGGGCGGGGAGCACATGCAGCTTAGGATGTCAACATTTAGGGCTTGTATCAAAACTCTTCCGGTTTGGAATCTGAGGAAATTCCCGATTCACTTTCACTATTCTTAGATTGGACACCTATGATCACTGGTTGCATGGTCACATCATCTAAAGTAACTATCCAGTGCTGATTCCCTATTTCAGTTTCAACTGTCTGTACACAATTATTTGCTTGATTGCTGGTGTTATTTTTTTTATGGCTTTGTGTACTTAGTTTTGAACGTAGGAAAAGTTTGAACGAGGTATTGTTGTGACCCACATCAGATTCTATGATACCCCAGATAAGTTCTGTTGTATTGAGATCGCAATAGTAAGTCGGTAAACGTAAAGTTCCATGGCCATGAGCTTTGAGATATTGATCTACCTTCCAGATTGGAGTTGGTTTGTTGGCTTTATAATGTCACACAAAAGTCGCTTTAGTTGCTTTTGATGGAAACGAATCTTAGCCATGGTACCGTATCACTTTTCCTGCTGTTTGATGTTGGAGCTTTTGCAACTGGATCCTGTATGCTATGATGTGGTGCGCTGTCCATAACATTTAAACTGTTCTGAGGAAGTGCTGGTACCAGCTTTTTTTTTCACCCAATTTAGGAGAATTTCCCCAATCATTTCAGTGCGGTAATCTCTGTTGTCTTTGGATTTTGCCCATTTTGACCCAAACATGCTATAAGTCTGATAGTGACTTCAATTGGGGTTCAATTTCCAAATATACCTTTGAGTCTCTTTTCATGGTATAACAAGCAAACAACAACTTTTATGTTAGCATTGAAGCCAAGACACAACAGCTGCAGTCGTGGCCGACAATCACGACATGCATCCCTCGGTCAGGCCTACAGATATAGCTCCCCGTTGTATGATGATTGTGTATGTTTCGTCCGACAAAAAATTGATTGAGTGATCAAACAAATGTTTGACAGAAATAAATGATATATTTAAAAACACGGCTTGCACCTCTCTCTCTTCCTTCGACACTCAGTGGAACAACTGTAAACTTTTTTCCTTGGCCTCTCTTGTTCACTCGCCCATGTATCTCGTACCGCTCTCGTTAATGGACAACTTACCACAATCCATGCGAGGCATGTGACACGCTCCTCAGCTACCCACGTGACTACTGCTCACTCATCATTCTCTTTCTCGTCGCGTCCCAGGTTGGACGTACTTGTAAACGTTGAACACTTCATTTGTCTTCAAGTTCCCTTCCTGATTGTTTTTCCACTCTGGGGAAATCACAAGATAATCGTAAGCGCAACTTTTGCGCTCAATGTAAGAAGACGTTTTCGAGATTGGATCCACACAGTTCGTGCGTGGACTGTGTAGGGTTATGTGAGGCTGATAATCGATGCAAACTATGTTACCGGCTGTCAGATGAAGATTTTAAAGCATACCAACGGGTATGTTCATGTCGTTTAGCCGACCCGGCAAGAAATGCTTCCTCTGAATGTTGCCCATTGTCTGCAAAGAAAATTCGCATTCAGTGACCAACTTTAACCCCGAAGCGGTTACTATCGCCTCCCTCGGGAGTGGAAGATTTCTTGTACTTATCTGAAGACTTGAAGAAGTTGCTTGGCTCACATTCGTCTCCTCCGGAGTCTGTGTCCTCTAGAGTGGTGGTGATTGATTGACCGAATCTGCCTGAAACTATTACCAACCCTACGGATCTTCGGATGACACTTTCTGCGTCTCGCTTGCCTACTGTATCGTTACCAACGGGGGAGGAAGGAACAGCCGTGGTAGAGCAGCTTAGGACTTTGATCCCTACGGGAATCCTACATCAAACTGGATCATCTAGTCGAACTGCTTCATATCCACCCACTACTTCGCTGAACTGCTCAGAGCATTATGGGACCCAGTCGCCTCACCGTGATGTTTATCATTCACGTTCTTGTTTGCCTCATACAGTGGATACCAGGGTGCGTACTGACTCTAGCAGGTTGATTGGGTCTCGGCCCTCAGTTCGTCTTCACTCACCACCGGCGTCTCCTACGAGACGTCGTTACAGTTCGTTAGATAGACGTTTCCCCCCCCACCGTTCGACTGTTTTTGACTCATCGGTTGCTGCTCCAACTCAGATTTTACCGGAATCTTGGTTTCCATCTAGAGACACTGGATCTGGGCCGGAATTAGATATGATGCTAAGAGCTGTTACGGCAGCGTATCAACAGTATCAACCTTCTCGTGCTGCTTAGTCGTCATCTACTCCTGTCGGGTCTCGTTCGACTGATCATGCTGTGCGCGTGGATGAGATCTACTATTCTTCGAGCATACACCTTTGCAGGCTTGCCCCCTCCTACCTCATCCAACCCGCACGAGACTCATGCGCTAGCATTGACTATGGCGTTACACAACAATTGTTCCCTGTCTTAGATCATGGAGGGTTGTTTTTGGCGTTCAGACAGTGTCTTCTCATATCACTACCTACGGGTTGTTTTGGTGACGGACGTCCGGGGGTTGCACCAGTTCGGACTACTCGTTTTGGCACAACAGCTCACCTCGGCTCATCAACGCAGATAAAGGAAGTCCTGTGATCGGCGCTGTTTCTTGTAATTACTGAATAAAAAGATCAGCTTATGTATATCTTTTGTTCTCTTTGTTATGGGTTTAAGAACTACCTCACTTGGTTGGATACTAAGGCATTTAGATACCGCCACCAATTTTATTTAGTGGTTGATTTACTTGTGTCGCGATGCAGAGGTGTTTGACATTCTCGCTTACCTATCTCTACTCTACGGAGTAATTACGTCAGTGAAGTGGGTCCTTCCCGAATTCCTGTGGATTTCATTGACTCCTAAGTTGCCAGACTCATCCTTTGACTAAGTTTATGTAAAGGAGCAAGGGTCAATTTGATGTTGTTTGGAACTGAACGTTAAAACTTGGAGTTTTCTGATTCAGTTTGTTTGTCACCCTCTAATCGATGGTGGCTGATGGGTTGCCTCGAAGCAGGGGCTGTTCCGATTACTGGTTGCAAAACTGTAATTCATGGAGGTACCTTGAAAATCATGGTGACGCGAGGTCTACTTGCTGAGCTACGTCTCTTCATTTATGAAGATTGCGGCCGAACACCACATCGCTCGGGAGCACCAATCTCCATGGGAGTCATTGTGCTTAGTAATCCAAGGGGTCAGGAGACCCATGACAAGAATAGGAGATGCGTGCATGCGTAACAGGCCTCCCTTGTGCATCGCTATCTACGGTTGTCTTCAGGAGTATACAACTCTTGTTGTTCTTTTCTGTACAGACTTAGGGTAATCTGCGACCCGCGGTCCAACCGTGGGATAAGTGCAAGCCGTGAGATAGGATAAGTTTAAAAATTTGGAAATTTTAGCTATATATTGTATATTTATATACTTATCTTATCTCAAGCGTTGGATTCCCGCCCACCTCCCCTCTACTCAGATTACAGTGACGGCTCCGAGAATGAGAATGTTGAGTGAGCAGTAGTCATGTGGGTAGCTGAGGAGCTTGTCGCATGCCTCGCATGGATTGTGGTAAGTTGTCCATTGACGAGAGCGGCACGAGATACATGGGCGAGTGAACAAGAGAGGCCAAGGGAAAAAGTTTAGAGTCGTTCCACTGAGTGTCGAAGGAAGAGAGAGAGGTGCAAGCCGTGAGATAAGATAAGGATATAAATGTACAATTTATAGTTAAAATTTTCAAACTTTAGATCTTGCGGAATACAAGATTCTTCCTTTGTAATGACGTAAGTGTGCAATCTGAGATCGAAACCTGTTTATTCATGACTGGCAATAAACCACCATGCTTGGGGGATTTTACGGGACACTACAATCACTCCTCGCTGAGTTTGCACCCGATGGAGTTGGCTCCACAGTGATTGAATTAATTAGGGTCAAGCGCTTCATTTAGTGCCTCAGAGTGCACCCGTCTTGTTAACAAGAGATGGCAGGCTGCCTCGCATACAGGTTACATCTATCTGTGACTGGTTAATGTCCATGCGCCAGCTGTAGGCAGTATGTAGGCCCATTATAGAACTTAATGTTATGGGTAGGAGATCCACATATTTGAGAAGGGGTGGGGGTGACGGACAAGAGTCGTGATATTTTGTTGTAGTCACGAGTAGTTTTGGGAATTGGTTAAAATCTCACAATTGATGATTGGTTTATTGCCAATGAAGAGTAATTGAAAAAAGTTGGTTAACATGATTGTTCAGATTTTCCTGTTTAGGTTAGTATTGCAGATATGTATAAAGAAAAACCTTTGGTTCACTGATGCTTTTGTCTTTTATTTTGAAACTGCGCAAATTGCGAATTTCAAATCCAATGTAAATTGATGCAATTTGTTTCTTTAAAGTAAGGATTATTTCAGTTAATTGGAACACCACTAATCTCAAGTGGAGATAAGGAATGTTCCCTCCCCGGACAACATACATGATGTACGCAAACATTTCAATAGCTTTGTATAGTATTTTATTCATTTATTTCTGTCATTGACATCAATATGTATTTGCAAAGGAGGGAGTATTGAACCTCCCTTCATCCCACTACACAACCCCTCCCATGGAATCACTATTGTAGAGGGGCGGTGGGGTAGCTTAGTGGTTAAAGCGTTTGCTCATCATGCCAAGGTGCCGAGTTAGTTCGATTCCCCAAATGGGTATAATGTATGAAGCCCATTTCTGGTATCCCTTGCTGTGATATCGCTGGAATATTGCTAAAAGCAGCGTAAAAGCGAACTCACTTGCTCACCACTGTAGATTTTGAGTGTTTTTATTTTCCTGCATGCTTGTTGTGTTACAACCATCACAGTCTGTTAACCCTTTGTCAGTGTCGGAAACACCGTCCTGTTTGTAACATGCAGTAATGTGCCATCAGTATGTAAACATGCAACACATAGAGAGTTAATGCCTATTGCTTGTTCAGAAGCATGTCAAACATCAACAGTAACACTGTTATTGGATTGACGCTCCATTCCGATTGCAAAGTGTCAAAATAAAATACTCTTGGCAAGATGTGTTTGTATATTTCCTATGTGACCCCCCTCCCCCCTCTCCCCCCACACTATTGTCATATGAGCGAAATATTCTCAAGCACGACGTAAAACCCACTTTCACCTCACTCTCCCCCCACACAAACGACTAATCCTCCGATTGCTCAGGCCTTGTGCCCGTGGACTGGCTCCTGATTTTAGTGTATAGTGTTTGTCTGAGTGTTAATGGGAGGTGCAGTGAGGTTTACCATCTTGTTAAAAATATTGTGCCTACTGAGCAGTATGGAGCCCATTTCGTGTGTTGTGAGTCTCGGTATTGCTGGAATATGGGTTAAAAACTTGGCACCAGAATAGTGATCATCTTTAACATGTTATAAGAGCCGTTTGACATAATATGAATCAAAGTACATCATATTAAATAAAGAGTTTTATCTTTAACATGATCATTGTTTATTGTATTTTTACAGGTTCCGGGGAAAACAACCATGTTAAATACCATCGCTGGGAGAACAATTGCACAGTCAGGGGAGATAACTCTGAACCAACAGAAGCTCACCAAACTTTTGCGGCAAAGAATGTGCTATGTTCTGCAAGATGATCTCTTCTTCTCCAAGCTGACGCTGTGGGAGACACTCTATGTAAGTTTGTATAACTGTCCCACACTGCAGGTCCTCTCAATGCTTTCGTCACTTGACAAGGGATGCTCTGGAGGCCCTATGGCCGCTCTCACTCTCTGCAATGACTATGTTGTGTGACTTACACAGAGGCTACATTGCCCACAGACCCGTGAAGGTACGGGTTAGAATATTGCTCTTCAGTAACCCATGCTTGTCGTAAGAGGCGACTAACGGGATTGGGTGGTCAGGCTCTCTGACTTGGTGGGGCAGCCTAGTGGTTAAAGCGTTGGCTCGTCACACCGAAGACCCGGGTTCGATTCCCCACATTGGTACAATGTGTGAAGCCCATTTCTGGTGTCCCCCGCCGTGATATTGCTGGAATATTGCTAAAAGCGGCATAAAACCATACTTACTCACTCACTCACTCACTCACTCACTCACTCACTCACTCACTCACTCACTCACTCACTCACTCACTCACTCACTCACTCACTCACTCACTCACTCACTCTGACTTGGTTGACACATTTCATCGGTTCCCAATTGCGTAGATCGATGCTCATGCTGTTGATCACTGGATTGTCTGGTCCAGACTCGATTATTTACAGACCGCCGCCATATAGCTGGAAGAGCTCAGTGCTGTGTTTCAAACTGAAAAATGCCTAATTATCATGATCACCTGATTACCCAATTTTCGTCATTGATTCACTGGTTTGCTTATATAATGTGACTCCCCTCCTGATGAAGAGGGAAAGCAGCAAGCCGTCTGTCCAATGAATGTCCAGGTTATTACAATTTGCTGTTCATAGTATCAGCATCTGTGGTGATGGATTTGTCCTGATTATTATGAACTGGCTTTCAACACCAAAATTACGGTTGTGGATTTCACCATGGTAATACTGTTTGGGTTTTCTAGAGACATACCTGAAAGGATGTGTATGTATACTGGTGGAAGATACTGCAGTGTAATATCTTTACGGCAATATTACACTAGTGTAATACCGCTAGACGTATGACGTCATAATGGTTTACAGTTATGACATCACAATGCTAATACCTCGGTCACAATGGTATTAGACCTTGCAGAAAGCTGAGAGTCATCACACTGTAGGCAGTTTTCGTTTGTTTGAATTTTGATACCAACTCATTAACTCGTTTTATAAAAATGGTATTACACGGAAGGTCGTTTGGTATCCTCTATGTACTACACAGTTGGGGCTGCTCAAAGTTGTACAAAGTTGTACTCACCTGAAACAACATTTACACCTCGATTAATAGAATTTCAACTCATTTGTATAAAAAGACCAAATAACCATAAAGATAGCTTGATATTGAAAACCCAAAGAAAACTATCTATATCCAATGTAAATAGGTTCTGAGATCCTCAAAGTATTATCTGAAACCCTTTCTCTGTTATTTCGTTATGTTTTTATGAATGTCAAGTGTTAATGGGCCAATGGAAACACTTGTTCATTTTTAAGGGCATGCAACCCACCGCTGATAAACCGTTTTCTGTCTTTGTCAGTTTGCGGCCATGATCCACCTGCCTGACAAGATGCCTCGCTCAGAAAAGTTGTCAAGAATTGACCAGATCATTGCTGCCCTTGACCTTGAGGATTGTAAGAATACAGGTGTGTACGTGGCTGTTGATGTCTGTTACATGAATAGGGACTGTAAGTAGGTCACGGCACTTCGCGAGACCTTAGTACTTCCGATGACAAACAATGTTTCATACCTTTTTGAATGGTCTCATTGTTGTCTGTTGACAGTAAGGAATCGTTAATCCCTGCAGGAATAACAAATTTCCAGTGTAACCATCCCCAAATTAGCCAACTTAGCATGGTTGTACACTTGGTCCAGTCTTGTAAAGTCTTATTGGGCGTTCGCATAATTTGGAACTAGAACTGGTTCTCGTATATATACTCTTGTCACAGGAAATCTGATACCAGAAGTAATCTGGGCCCCGTCTCGCATATCGCATGTTGGCGTGCTCAAAGGGACCAGGGAACTAGCTAGGAATAGTACCGGAAGTAGTGCTTCGCGAGACTTAAAGGCCTTATTGGTGCATATTGCAATACTGGAGTCACAAGACTGGAGTCATAACTGTCTCTCTCTGTTCCATGTAGTGTTGCTATTGAAAGGCTATTTGTATCATTCATCTTGTTGCTTTAAAGGCGATGCATATATATTTTCATGATCAACTTTGTCTTATGTTATTTATGTCCAGTGAATGAGTAGGTAATGTTATTCTGAACATGATTTTACAAGCAGATTATGAGAAAATGATTATAAAATATAGGATACCTTGATTTACAACTGTTGTATTGCAATACATACGATATATGTTAACATACTGAATCCCCACATGGGTACAATGTGTGAAGCCCATTTCTGGCGTCCCTTGCAATGATATTGCTGGAATATTGCGTAAGACGAGTAAAACTCACTCATCTTATCTTTGAGCCTCTGTTGTAGATAAACTGTGATGGCCTGTATGTTTGTTTATTAATAATAGTGTGCTCAGCTAATGCACTCTGTCCTGAGTTTGAATATTGACTAATGTTCTTGTCCTGAGTTTGAATATTGACTAATGTTCTTGTCCTGAGTTTGAATATTGACTAATGTTCTTGTCCTGAGTTTGAATATTGACTAATGTTCTTGTCCTGAGTTTGAATATTGACTAATGTTCTTGTCTTGAGTTTGTATATTATTGACTAATGTTCTTGTCCTGAGTTTGAATATTGACTAATGTTCTTGTCTTGAGTTTGATATTGACTAATGTTCTTGTCCTGAGTTTGAATATTGACTAATGTTCTTGTCTTGAGTTTGTATATTGACTAATGTTCTTGTCCTGAGTTTGAATATTGACTAATGTTCTTGTCTTGAGTTTGTATATTGACTAATGTTCTTGTCCTGAGTTTGATATTGACTAATGTTCTTGTCCTGAGTTTGAATATTGACTAATGTTCTTGTCCTGAGTTTGTATATTGACTAATGTTCTTGTCCTGAGTTTGAATATTGACTAATGTTCTTGTCCTGAGTTTGAATATTGACTAATGTTCTTGTCCTGAGTTTGAATATTGACTAATGTGTCTGAGTTTGAATATTGACTAATGTTCTTGTCCTGAGTTTGATATTGACTAATGTTCTTGTCCTGAGTTTGTATATTGACTAATGTTCTTGTCCTGAGTTTGATATTGACTAATGTTCTTGTCCTGAGTTTGAATATTGACTAATGTTCTTGTCCTGAGTTTGTATATTGACTAATGTTCTTGTCCTGAGTTTGAATATTGACTAATGCACTCTGTCCTGAGTTTGATCCTGAGTTTGTATATTGACTAATGTTCTTGTCCTGAGTTTGAATATTGACTAATGCACTCTGTCCTGAGTTTGTATATTGACTAATGTTCTTGTCCTGAGTTTGAATATTGACTAATGCACTCTGTCCTGAGTTTGTATATTGACTAATGTTCTTGTCCTGAGTTTGAATATTGACTAATGTTCTTGTGACTAATGCACTCTGTCCTGAGTTTGTATATTGACTAATGACTCTGTCCTGAGTTTGAATATTGACTAATGTTCTTGTCCTGAGTTTGTTTGAATATTGACTAATGTTCTTGTCCTGAGTTTGAATATTCTTGTCCTGAGTTTGATATTGACTATGTTCTTGTCCTGAGTTTGTATATTGACTAATGTTCTTGTCCTGAGTTTGTATATTGACTTATGTTCTTGTCCTGAGTTTGTATATTGACTAATGTTCTTGTCCTGAGTTTGTATATTGACTAATGTTCTTGTCCTGAGTTTGTATATTGACTAATGTTCTGTATGATTCAGCTATTGGAGATCAGATCCAGCGAGGTTTGTCTGGAGGGGAGAAAAAGAGAGCCAGCATCGCGTGCCAGCTTCTAACGGATCCTGACATCATGCTGCTAGATGTATGTAGGCACGGTGATACCAGACATTGTCTTCTGTCTGTCTAATGGAGTGTATAGGCGATGGACAGTTTCTTGTAAGCTGTGATTGGATGATACAAAGCAAACAGTGGACTGTATAAAGTAAATAACTGTTGCCAAGATTTTCATGGCCAGATAAGGTTTATCATCCATATGAAACTTTGAAGGTGTAGACCTTCTCCATGTTTATTTATGCTTGTACGTTTGTTTGTTGTTTAACGCCACCCCAGCAATATCCCGGCTGTATGGCATATGTCTGTAAGTAATTGAGTCTTGACCAGACAATCCAGTGATTAATCTCTGGAGTTGGTGAAACATGTATGTTCATGACTAATAAATGTAACAGATTCTGCACAAAATGTGATGATGATGATGATGATGATGATGATGATGCTGGTGATGATGATGATGATGATGATGATGATGATGATGATGATGATGATGATGTGTCCAGGAGCCGACATCAGGACTGGACTCCAGCACGGCCTACACGTTGATGCAGCTGTTGAAGAAGTACACGGCGGAGAGCAACAAGGCCGTCATCGTCACCATCCACCAGCCAGCCAGCCAGATCTTCCACATGTTCAGCAGGCTTCTTCTGCTGGCCAAGGGCCAGGTAAATTCCTACACTTCTTTCTAGTAGTGGTTCCTCCTTCAGGATGGGCACAATGTGTTAAGCCCATTTCTGGTGTCCCCTGCCGTGATATTGCTGGAATATTGCTAAAAGCGGCGTAAAACCAAACTCAGTCAAACGAACAATAACTTTAGCACCACCAACATGGAGCTGACGTGTCTGGATGTACCCTGGTTGCTGTAAAAGACAAATGCTTATCACTCTTAAAACAATGCTCAGTCACTCACTCAATTCAAGCTGCAGCACAAAATAACAATAATAACAAATAGGGGAATATTGTAATGCATTGTGGTTCTTGAGTAGTCTTGAACATGATGAAACTTTCAATGATGGGGTGCGGTGGGCGAGCTGGCTAAGACGCCAGGCTAGTGATCCAGCGAGGTTGAGGTGTCGGGATTGAGCCCACCTCTGACCGGGTGTAAAAACCTTGGAGTCAACTTTGTGTGCAGACTCTTTCAGTGTTGTCACAACCCCTAGTGTACAGTACACAACCCTGTGCACTTAAAAGAACCCACGAATCTGTTGGTATATGACCAGATGGTGGCCACATGAATACATGCAAACACCTAGTTGCGGGTACAGTGAACTTCGACAAAGTACTGTGACTGTGTCCCAGTCCACCCAGCTGTGAATGGGTACGTCGTTAGGATGAGAAAGCCACAATAACTCAGTGCGCCTTGTGGCTGCAAGCGTTATATACTCCCCAGGTAGTTGAGATTGATAATACGATGTGCTGTTGAGATTGACAATACCAGCGCCTTGAGGATGCACTAGTTGCGTGGATATGTGTGCTATATTAATATCCTATAGTAACTTTTAACAATACTTGGTACAATGGGTGTTTCCTCTTTCAGGTTGCATATTTTGGGGCTGCAGAGAAGACTCTCGATTTCTTTGAAGGAGTTGGTCTGATCTGTGAACCTCACTACAACCCAGCGGACTTTATACGTAATTACCCACGAGAACTAATAAATAAAAACAAACAATTTTCCACTCTGGTAAAGTTTATCCCTTAAAGTTTTTGGCTTAACAGTTTTCAAAAGTCAAATTTCAGATGTGGAACAAAGCTTGTGTCTGTTGATGTAAGTGGTATTGATATATGACAAGAACCTACCATTAAAGTAAACATAAATATGTGTTAACATGTTTATTTAAGGCAAAAGCCATGTTCGTGACGGCATGTTATGCATATTCTCTTGTTGCTATGGTTACAGTGGAGACTGTGAAGAGGGATGAAGCAACAATGCAGACCATATTGAAAGCAGCTGAGGACAAGAGGTAGGTAACCATGGTAACAGAGTTCTGATTACACTTTTGATAGTAAGGCAGATGTTGAATTAAACTGAACATTTGTCAAGCTTGTACTTGTAGGTGATCGCAATAATACCACTCACATGAGTCTGTGTTAATGTGTGGTAGTTGATACGGTCTTAGCGCTACAATAGTTTTGTGGAAAGGGACCTTTTTGTGTATTGGGTGTCACGGCAAGAAAATGTAATTGAAAAAATAAACATTAATGGTTGTATGAAACATTATCTACATTCTGTAGGGGAAATTTCTCATGCTTCACTGGTCGGGTCTGAAGTCATACTAACACTGCCAGACTTGGATCTGAAGTCAGACTAACACTGCCACACTTGGGTCTGAAGTCATACTAACACTGTCACACTTGGGTCTGAAGTCATACTAACACTGCCAGACTTGGATCTGAAGTCATACTAACACTGCCACACTTGGGTCTGAAGTCAGACTAACACTGCCAGACTTGGATCTGAAGTCAGACTAACACTGCCTGACTTGGGTCTGAAGTCAGACTAACACTGCCACACTTGGGTCTGAAGTCAGACTAACACTGCCACACTTGGATCTGAAGTCAGACTAACACACTTGGATCTGAAGTCAGACTAACACTTGACTTGGGTCTGAAGTCAGACTAACACTGCCACACTTGGGTCTGAAGTCAGACTAAGACTGCCACACTTGGACACTGCCAGACTTGGATCTGAAGTCAGACTAACACTGCCACACTTGGGTCTGAAGTCAGACTAACACTGCCACACTTGGGTCTGAAGTCAGACTAACACTTCCTGACTTGGGTCTGAAGTCAGACTAACACTGCCACACTTGGGTCTGAAGTCATCTGAAGTCAGTCTAACACTGCCTGACTGAAGTCTGAAGACTAACACTGCACACTTGGGTCTGAAGTCAGACTAACACTGCCACACTTGGGTCTGAAGTCAGACTAACACTGCCACACTTGGGTCTGAAGTCAGACTGCCTGACATCTGACTAACACTGCCTGACTTGGTCTGAAGTCAGACTAACACTGCCACACTTGGGTCTGAAGTCAGACTGAAACTGCCACTTGGGTCTGCCAAGTCAGACTAACACTGCCACACTTGGGTCTGAAGTCAGACTAACACTGGGGTCTGAAGTCAGACTAACACTCAGACTAAACACTAACACACTTGCCACACTTGGATCTGAAGTCAGACTAACACTGCCACACTTGGGTCTGAAGTCAGACTAACACTGCCACACTTGGGTCTGAAGTCAGACTAACACTGCCAGACTTGGATCTGAAGTCAGACTAACACTGCCACACTTGGATCTGAAGTCAGACTAACACTGCCAGACTTGGGTCTGAAGTCAGACTAACACTGCCTGACTTGGGTCTGAAGTCAGACTTTGATGTCATACTTTGATGTGAAGTCATGTACCTATGAGCAGGATACACACATGCACCCAGATGCCCCTCCAATCCTTGGTGGTTGACCGGATGATGGACTCCCTGCCATGTTGTTGCAGGTGTAGCCTCCCCATGGGCGGGACCTGCCTTCAGGATGTAGGTGTACGGAGATCTCAGCCTCCTGGCCACTACAAGCTTCCCTGGGGAGGAGCATTTCTTAATGTAACTTAACGTGCCAAAATGCTATATCTATTTAACTGATTAATCTTATTCTCCTATGTGTATGCATTTTTTATTGCTTCCGACATATATTGATAGTGTTTAAATTCCAGAATTAATGTGTGAACACCTTGTCAGTGAATATGAGTGAATGATCAATATGTATGTATAGTACTAATGTGAAAGGAGGACAGGTGTTGGTAGAGAATAGCATCAGGGTCTGTTGTTGTTGGTAGAGAATAGGGTCAGGGTCTGTGGTCTGTTGTTTGTTGGTAGAGAATAGCGTCAGGGTCTGTTGTTGGTAGAGAATAACGTCAGGGTCTGTTGTTGTGTAGAGAATAGAAGGTCAAGGGTCTGTTGTTGGTGGTAAGAGAATAAGGTCAGGGTCTGTTGTTGTTAAGTAGAGAATAGCCTCAGGGTCTGTTGTTGGTAGAGAATAACATCAGGGTCTGTTGTTGGTAGAGAATAGCGTCAGGGTCTGATGTTGTTGGTAGAGAATAATGTCAGGGTCTGTTGTTGTTGGTAGAGAATAACGTCAGGGTCTGTTGTTAGTGTAGAGTAAGGTCAGGGTCTGTTGTTGGTAGAGAATAATGTCAGGGTCTGTTTTTGTTTGTTCGGATAGAATAGCATCAGGGTCTGTTGTTGGTAGTAGAGAATAACATCAGGGTCTGTTGTTGTTGTAGAAGTAGAGAATGTCAGGGTCTGTTGTTGGTGTAGAGAATGTCAGGGTCTGTTGTTAGTGTAGAGAGTAATGTCAGGGTCTGTAGAGTAAGGTCAGGGTCTGTTTGTTCAGAGGTTCAGGGTCTGTTGGTGTTGAGAATAAGGTCAGGGTCTGTTTTTGTTGAGGTAGAGAGTAAGGTCAGGGTCTGTTGTTGGTAGAGAATAACTTCAGTGTCTGTTGTTGTTGTAACGTTGGTCAGGTCTGTAGAGTAGAAAGTCAGGGTCTGTTGTTGTTAAGTAGAGAATAACATCAGGGTCTGTTGTTGTTAGTAGAGAATAACGTCAGGGTCTGTTGTTGGTAGAGAATAACGTCAGGGTCTGTTGTTATGTAGAGAATAAACGTCAGGGTCTGTTGTTGGTAGAGAATAACGTCAGGGTCTGTTGTTAGTGTAGAATAAATGTCAGGGTCTGTTGTTGGTGTAGAGTAAGGTCAGGGTCAGGTTGTTGTAGAGAATAACTGTCAGGGTCTGTTGTTGTAGAGAATAACGTCAGGGGTGTTAGTGTAGAGTAAGGTCTGTCTGTTGTTGGTAGAGAATAACGTCAGGGTCTGTTGTTGTGTAGTAGAAATAACAAAGGGTAGAAGAATAACATCAGGGTCTGTTGTTGGTAGAAATAAGAATAAGGTCAGGGTCTGTTGTTGGTAGAGAAATCCAGGAGTAAGGTCAGGTTGTCTGTTGTTGGTAGAGAAGTAATGTCAGGGTCTGTTGTTGGTAGAGAATAATGTCAGGGTCTGTTGTTGGTAGTGTAGAAAATCAGGGTCTGGTCAGGGTCTGTTGTTGGTAGAGAAGAAGTCTGTTGTTGGTAGAGTAACGCCTGTTGTTAGTGTAGAAGAGAATAAGTCAAGAAATAGTCGTCAGGGTCTGTTGTTAGTGTAGAGAATAACGTCAGGGTCTGTTGTTGGTAGAGAATAAGGTCAGGGTCTGTTGTTGGTGTAGAATAAGGTCAGGGTCTGTTGTTGGTAGAGAATAACGTCAGGGTCTGTTGTTGTTGGTAGAGAATAAGGTCAGGGTCTGTTGTTGGTAGAGAATAACGTCAGGGTCTGTTGTTGGTAGAGAATAACGGTCAGGGTCTGTTGCTGTTAGAGAAAGGTCAGGGTCTGTTGTTAGAGTAGAAAGAAAGGTCAGGTCAGGGTCTGTTGTTGGTAGAGAATAGCGTCTGGTCTGTTGTAAGGTCAGACCTTGTTTCGCTGATAGACTGAAGTCAGGGTCTGTTGTTGCTGGTAGAGACTGAAGTCTCGGTTTGTTGTTACTGGTAGAGACTGAAGTCAGGAATTGTTGTTAATGTCACAGGTTCACAGAGGAATGGCCGTTAGACCTGAGATGGACTGCTGGAGACAGACACAAAACCCTCGATGCTGGCTCTCTGTCCATGATATACGAGTTTGAGACAGGCAGCCTTGAGGGTCAGAATGGCTTTGTTCCTGGGTCAAACACTCATGATGGCGCTGTTGTGGCCATCAACTACTCAAAGAGAGGTAAGCTACAGCTGAAGGAGACTTGATTATTCACTTTCTGCGTGGAGACAAGAAGTTGTTGAAGAGAAGAAGTTGGTAATTCTTGGTACTTACTTTGGTCACATGTAAAAACCTTTGTCTGAAACATTTGCAAATCCTGCAGTGAACCTCCACTGGACCAATTCCACTGAAGCTTCCAAATGCTTATGCCAACCGTTGATGTCTCCCAATGTGTTGAGAAGATTTGAAATTCTAATTACTGTGTTTCTATATAGCAGCCATTTTGAAAAATCCATACTGGCTTTTTCCCTGAACTTTTTCATTCAAATGTGATGATAATTTGGTTTGTGAGTAGTTGGGACCGACAAATTGGTTTGACCTTTGCACTTTGACAATGCTGCTAAATTCTCAGACACGTAAAGATCCGGATTAGAATTGGTCATCAGTAACCCCTGCTGGTTGAAGAGGCGACTAGCGGGATCGAGTGGTCAGACTCACTGACTTGGTTGACACACGTCGCCCCTAATGTGTTTTCTGGCAGATATGGCCAGCAATGATGTTTCTGTTGATATGTGGGGTGGTGGGGTAGCCTGGTGGTTAAAGCGTTCGCTCGTTACGCCAAAGGCCCGGGTTCGATTCCCCACATCGGTACAATGCGTGAAGCCCATTTCTGGTGTCCCCTGCCGTGATATTCCTGGAATATTGCTAAAAGCGGCGTAAAATCCAACGCACTCACTCTGTTGATATGTTCTTTATATATTAACAAGGATTAAACATGCGTAGTCAGAACAAAGACTCAAAACAGTTGAACAATGTTTGAGTAGGTTCTTTGTCTAAAATAAACAACAGAGATAACTAATTGTATTTTCTGTTCCAGATCTAGAAGATGGACTTAATGTGGAATCTGTTAAAACCGAGGTTGTCTCCCCTGAAAGTACGTCGCGTTGGCCAACTTGTTTCTGGACTCAGTATAAAATGCTGAACTGGCGGACATTCAAGCAATCTCGGGGCCGCATCCTGTCTAAGTACGCCATTTCAAACGCCTTGATCCTGGCCACCGTGGTGGGCATCCTGTGGTTCCAGATGGAGCGCACACACAAAAACATCCGGGACAGGATGGGCATGGTAGGTCCTGAGTTATGTGGTGTATTGAACCTAAATTTATGATAAGACCTTGGATCATTTGGCTCCATCTTTGAAGTCACTAGGAAGAGGGTGGGTGAGTGAGAGAGCTTAGTTTTATGCCACTCTTAGCACTGTGCCAGCAATATCACGGCGGAGGACACCAGAAATGGGCTTCACACACCGGGGAATTGAACTTGGGTTTTCGACGTGTCGAGCAAACGCTTTTACCACTAGGCTATCACACCGCTCCTTAGAAAGAGGGATTATCTCAGCATGTTAGAGAGTCTTGGGGAAGAATTATATGTCAGAATGTAAGCATGTCACGGTATGTTGCCCAGATTCCAGGTTCAAAATGTTGCCTGGCAACTTTCTCAGTAGACGACATACTAGTAATATATTGGGTTGTCATGCTTGGAGACTTGTGTTTCAAGTTGGTGCAGCCTTATTGACCGTTTCTGACAGTATCAGTCTCTGGTACAGATTAGATTACTTTACATGCATCCCTAAGAATGATAACTCAAAGTGTTTCTTTATGTTTTGAGTTCCCTGATTATTTGGGTGGTCACGGTACATAAATGTATGCTTGTTTAAATGCTTTACTCATTCATTCAGAGAAGTCTAAACCTGGCCATGCTACTGAGAAATGACAATTGGTAGCATTGTTGTAGTTACATCAGAACTGCCCATTCAGGTTTGACTTTGCTGTGCTTGAGTGAATACAGTGCTCACTTGTACCGAGAATTTAGAAGCTGAATGGCAGATTAAAAAGATCACCTAATGCAACAAACTGGAGGGTTTGTTGGGTGATATTCATGGAGGCTCAGATGACCTAGTTTAGTTGCCAAAAGTTTGCTGTTCAGAGTTGCATGCTTTGTCATGTGAAGAACCTGAGATTGTTGGGTAGGACCCCATGTTCAGTTGTCCCGACCGCATGTTCAGGTGGTGGTTGGGTAGCCTTGTGGTTAAAGTGTACAATGTGTGAAGCCCATTTCTGATGTGATATTGCTAGAATTTTGCTAAAAGCTGTGTAAAACTAAACTCACTCACTCACTCACTCACCCATGTTCAAGGGTTATCAAAGTAGTAAAGGTGTAAGACTGTATCCTTATAATCCCTCATTCCACACTGAGCTGACATGGCACGATGTGACTGGTGTTAAAAGAGGTATAAAACGCACTTATTCGGTGTATAACAGTGAAGTAAAAGATCTGGTTTGAATGCCGTAGCACAGGATAAGGATGCATGTTGATACTACCCTTGTTTCGCTCTTCTGTACATAATCCACAACATGTTTATTTCAGATTTTCTTCGTTGTGATATTCTGGGGTCTCTCTCCTGTCTTTGATGGGATAACATCATGTAAGAAAATGGTTCATTATTATATCTGTTCCCATGGTTACAACACTGATGAAGATCCGGGTTAGAATTGGTCTTCAACCCATGCTTGCCGTAAGAGGCGACTAACATTATCGGGTGGTCAGACTTGCTGACTTAGCTGACAAATGTCATCAGGTCCATTTTGAGTAGATTGATGCTCATGTTGTTAATCCCTGGATTATCTGGTCCAGCCTCGGTTATTTACAGACTGCGATCATATAGCGGAATATTGGTGAGAGTGGCGTCAAACAACAAATACACAAACAAACAAATCCATGGTTACAACGACGAGAGTTTCCTTGGAAATACTGGTGGTGGAAAATTCATCTCTCTGTAGTTAGTCCGAACTTAGTTTAACAGATATTTCACACTTTCACATATCAACTACATAAATTGTAGAGATAAATGAGAAAATACATTTTTTCTATTTCCGACAGTACTATAGCCAGACTTAAGCTGGTTTTATAGTGCTAGCCCATTGAGATACCATGCCACAGTTAAGCATGAATACCCCACCCAGACACATTATACTGACTCGAGCCGACCAGTCCTTGTTGTACCCATTAATGCTAAGCGCCAGGCAGGTACCAACAAGTACCATATTTGAGCGCTCTTTTGGTATGATGCGGTCGAAGCCGGACGCTGTAACCACTACACCATGGAAGCGGTCTCATGTTTGTCATGGTGTATTTGATATAGCAGCAAAGTAGGAATGCTGGGTTAGAACTGAATTTAAGAGGCAACTGACTGTTCACATTAATAGAATTTTGTCACAAACTGAAGAAAATATTATGTATATATATTAGTCCCATTATCAACTTCACAATTATATTTCATGATATATAAGTATGCTTTCATACTTTGATTAACTTGATGGTCTTATGTAAATGAAGTGTTTATAAAATCATGCACTATTGATTTCCACGTTCATGGTAAACTGCTCACATGGTGAATTTGAAGTTATTGTTAGCAGACATGTGTAGCACAATATAATACACACTGATCCCCCTCACTTGAATCCATTTGTTTAGAACTATGCTCATGCTGTTGATCACTGGGTTGTCTGGTCCAGACTCGATTATTTACAGACTGCCGCCATATAGCTGGAATATTGCTGCTGAGCGCGTGTACAACTAAACTCACTCACTCACTCTCAGGCTCATGACCATGAAATCCATAACCACTCAGAATGACTCTTCTAACCACGAACTGATCAAATTTCAAAATTACACATCATCAAAAGATTGAGCCTTCCATTAATAAAATGAGACTACAGTTGTAATAGTCCTTTCCCTAGATTGGCTTCACAGTGTACTAAGATAGGACTTACATCCATGTGGTATGAGGTGTAACACTGTTTGAATCAGTTTAAAAGATGAAAACTTTGTGTGCGCAGTCCCGTCCGAACGGCCAATCATTCTGAAGGAGAGGGCAGCAGGGTCGTATCGACTGTCAGCTTACTACCTGGCCAAGATGACCAGTGAGTTGCCGCTGGTCATGATCTTGCCGACCGTAGCAACCACCATCATCTACTGGATGGCGGGGATGAAGGGTGTGGGCGAGTACTTCGCAACGGTGGGGATCATCATTCTTAACGCATTGAATGGACAGGTAAACATATTGTCTCTTATTCCTGTGGTGTTCTTGTCAGCTTCATTCATGGGCTTGAGATCCAAGTATTTGAACGCCATAGCAGTCAGTTGCTTTTGACCCGTGAAGGTCTGCGGTAGAATTGATCTTCAGTAACCCATGCTTGTCGTAAGAGGCTACAATGGGGATCAGGTGATCAGGCTCGCTGACTGGCTTGACACATGTCCTCGTATCTCAATTGCGTAGATCGATGTTCATGCTGTTGATCACTGGATTGTCTGGTCCAGACTCAATTATTTACAGACCGCCACCATATAGCTGGAATATTGCTGAGTGCGGCGTAAAACTAAACTCACTCTCTCAGTTGCTTTTCTTTCACCAATAACTGTTATATAGTTGGCTGTTCAGGTTTTATATGATTGAAGTCTTATTAAGAAACAGTCATTAATGGAGACAACTACATGTATTTGGCAGATGCTACCCCTTTCATACGATTTACAAGATGGGTATCGAAACTGCACCTACCCCTGTGACATTAATACTTTCTTTTCTGAAAAATGAAATGTATTAACCTGCAAAAAGTGACTATTCTGTTACAACTATAATGGTATTATTATAATGTGAACCGTAAACCAAGTAAAAATGCCTTATCAAAATTGTTCTAATGGAACCTGTTTGTTCGAAATATTCTAAAGATAATTTATAACAAAGTCATTTAAGGAACTGGTTATTTATGACAGCACCATGGATAATGGAATGTGGGGAATGGGTGGAACCCAGAGAAATCTGAAAATTGAAAATGTACCAACTGGAATAAATTTACTTTGATGCTTGGTACCTTTTGTGGGATTAACGTGGGTGGGATAAGCGAGATTATTTTTCGCAATCTTTTGAACAGGTTCTGAAATATTTGTATAACTGTTATAAGAGACAATTAAATGGATGGGGTGGTGTTGGCATCAGTGACACGTGTTATTGCTGGCATCAGTGACACGTGTTATCGCCAGCGTCAGTGACACGTGTTATCGCCGGCGTCAGTGACCGTGTTTTAGCGCATCAGTGATGCGTGTTATTGCCGCATCAGTGACATAATGTTATCGCCGCGGCCAGTGACATGTGTTATCGCCAGCGTCAGTGACACGTGTTATCGCCGGCGTCAGTGACACGTGTTATCGCCAGCGTCAGTGACACGTGTTATCGCCGGCGTCAGTGACACGTGTTAACGCCGGCATCAGTGACATGTGTTATCATGGGATGTTGCTCTCTGTATCGATGACATCTGGCCCACACTGATTTACAGGTTGCCGTGGAATGTTAGACAAACGTATCATTTCTGATGAAGAATTCAACTTTTACAACTTTATGTTTATTGCATCGAGTGACATTTTGTTGATATTCTTAAACTGTTATCAAGCATAAGTGATTTTGATTTGTTTCAGGGAATTGGTCTGTTAATTGGTGCCGGGATCTGGAACATGCAACTGGCCTTGACCGTCACATCGACCTCCATGCTCTCCATGCTGCTCCTAGGTAAACATGGCCACCATCATAGATCATCTCCATCACATTGACACCATATGTTACCTTGTTCCACCCTTGGTGTTCCAGGGTAGATTAGGTCTCAACAAACCCATGCTTGTTTGTAGTCTGGGTGTCTGAATGGTTCTTCACAATATCAGTCCGACCAAAGACGTTAAAATATGGTACTTGTTGGTCCCTGCCTGGCGCTTGGCATTAATGGGTACAAGGACTGGTCAGCTCGGAGTCAGTATATTGTGTCTGGTTGGGGTATTCATGCTTCACTGCGGCATGGTATCTCAGTGGGCTAGCACTATAAAACCAGCTTAAGTCTGGGCTAGTACAAGCCGCCACACATACACATGCATGCACGTCGTCATATGACTGAAAATATATTCTCAAGCACCTGACCTCATAATATCAGTCACCTGATTGTCTGGTCCTGACTGCATTTTTTTCAGACTACCCTATACAGCTGGAACACTGAGCGTAATGTTGATCAGTAGTATTGCTGGTTATCGCTCACAATATCGAGATCAATAATTGGAACTGAGTAATCAATCAATAATCAATTTTAATCGTAATCCTCACCACAAAACTCATTCGGGCAATAATGGGACACAATCATAACATTGTGCAAACGGGACAGGCACCGATTAACACTCCGATCAAGACAATTGAGGATACTTCCACGCACATGAATCTGTTGTTTATATTGCAGTATTCTAAGTGAGGATACTTCCACACACATGGATCTGTTGTTTATATTGCAGTATTCTAAGTGAGGATACTTCCATACACATGAATCTGTTGTTTATATTGCAGTATTCTAAGTGAGGATACTTCCACGCACATGAATCTGTTGTTTATATTGCAGTATTCTAAGTGAGCAGTTGTTTATGTCGATCTAACAAACATAACAATAAGAAGCATACTTTCTGATGTTTAGTTTGGTGCTTTATTTTTAAGAATATTGAAAAGTCTTCCAAGACCATCAATAATTGCTGATGCAAGGGAGATTGATCAATTGACCGATTATTTGATCAATCACTCCAGCAGTAATCAATAGTGTAGCAAACATTCATTCATCATAGATCGTTTCAGTCACTAGTTGCAAACACTGCATGCCTATATGCACACACATGCACAGGGTCGGTGAAGTAGCCTGGTGGTTAAAGCATTCGCTCGTCAAGCCAAAGATCTAGGTGCAATTCCCCACTTGGGTACAATGTGTGAAGCCCATTTTTGGTGTCCCCTGCCATGATATTGCTGGAATATTGCTAAAAGCGGCGTAAACTCGCTCGCTCGCTCGCTCACTCACTCACTCACTCACTCACTCACTCACTCACTCACTCACTCACTCACTCACTCACTCACGCACGCACGCACTCACTCACGCACGCACTCACTCACTCACTCACTCACGCACGCACGCACGCACACACTCACTCACTCACTCACTCACGCACTCCCTCTTAACCCATATAAACAAGAGGTACCCCAACTGTTCTTACAAAGCAACACAATTACTAATACAGGAAAATTTAGAAAGTTATCAACATACAGTTACTTGACAAGGTGTCGTGGTGATCATTGTGATTGTATTATAGTACCTCCTGTTTTTGTTTGACATGGATGATAATGAGCGAATTCATATGTAAGAGTGACAGACTATATTGCGGAGTCATAATTAACACCTTAATTTTAGGAAAAAGGAGCACAGTTGGTCCAGTTGATTTGGTACAGTTGCATCCCATAGATTTGCCTGAATGATTGACAAATCCTGGTTCACTCTGCCAGTGTTTCCAGGTTGCACTGACATTCCAGGCGTGAAGATCTGTGTTACAGTTGGTCTTCGGTAACCCATGCTTGTCGTGTGAGGCGACTAAGGGGATCAGGTGGTCAGGCTCACTGACTGGGGTTGACACATGTCATCGTATCCCAGTTGCGTAGATCGATGCTCATGATGTTGATCAGTTGATTGTCTGGTCCAGACTCAATTTTTTACAGACCACCTCTATTTAGCTGGAATATTGCTAAGTGCATCATAAAACTAAACTCACTCACTCACTGTTTAGACCTTCTTCACACATCAGACTAGATCACAGTAACTGAAATGTGTGTCAAAGCTATATCACAACTCTCTCGCTCACTTATGCAGTGTTCACGGATGGTGTTTAGAAGTAACAGGACATTGGGTCCTGTAAGTTTCAGATGTCTGTCTGACCCACTGAAAATTCACAGGACCCACGGTATAAAAATTTAACACACATTTCAGATTAAACATTTCTTGTATTGGCATTGAAATTTACAAACGTAAAATTTATAAACAGCAAACAAGTGTGACATATCACACATAACAACTTCACTCAAAGTTATTGTGAACCATACAGTCGGACACTGGGGCCGGCAAATTGTAGACTTCCATTGGACCGTCGGCAAGCTACCGGATCTGCCTAAGGGTCTGACGCTATTTATGAACACTGACTTATGTGGTTAAAGTGTTTGAACATCTCTGTTTCAGGAGGTTTCTACACCACTACATTTCCACCCTGGTTGTTCTGGGCTCGATACATCTCGATCTTCAGCCATCCCTTCAGTGCCCTCTCCATACTGGAGTTCTCTGACACTCCACCCATTCCGTGAGTACCTCCCTCAGTGCCCTGTCCTTACTGGAGTTATCTGACGCTCCTCCCATTCCGTGAGTGCCTCCCTCAGTACCTTCTCTGACACTCCACCCATTCCTCAGTGCCTCCCTCAGCCCTCTCCATACTGGAGTTCTCTGACACTCCACCCATTCCGTGAGTACCTCCCTCAGTGCCCTGTCCTTACTGGAGTTATCTGACGCTCCTCCCATTCCGTGAGTGCCTCCCTCAGTGCCCCATGTATACTGGAGTTATCTGACGCTCCTCCCATTCCATGAGTGCCTCCCTCAGTGCCCTGTCCTTACTGGAGTTCTCTGACACTCCACCCATTCCGTGAGTGCCTCCCTCAGTGCCCTGTCCTTACTGGAGTTCTCTGACACTCCACCCATTCCGTGAGTACCTCCCTCAGTGCCCTGTCCATACTGGAGTTATCTGACACTCCACCCATTCCTCGCGGAGTGCCTCCCCTCAGTGCCCTGTCCTTACTGGAATTATCTGATACTCAACCCATTCCGTGAGTACCTCCCTCAGTGCCCTGTCCTTACTGGAGTTCTCTGATGCTCCACCCATTCGGTGAGTACCTCCCTCAGTGCCCTGTCCTTACTGGAGTTATCTGACGCTCCTCCCATTCCGTGAGTGCCTCCCTCAGTGCCCCATGTATACTGGAGTTATCTGACGCTCCTCCCATTCCGTGAGTGCCTCCCTCAGTGCCCTGTCCTTACTGGAATTATCTGATACTCAACCCATTCCGTGAGTACCTCCCTCAGTGCCCTCTGTCTGAGGGAGTTCTCTGACCCTCCACCCATTCCGTGAGTACCTCCCCTCAGTGCCCTGTGTATACTGGAGTTCTCTGACCCTCCTCCCATTCCGTGAGTGCCTCCCTCAGTGCCCCATGTATACTGGAGTTCTGTGACACTCAACCCATTCCGTGAGTGCCTCCCTCAGTGCCCCATGTATACTGGAGTTCTCTGACTCTCCTCCCATTCCGTGAGTACCTCCCTCAGTGCCCCATGTATACTGGAGTTCTCTGACGGCTCCTCCCATTCCGTGAGTACCTCCCTCAGTGCCCCATGTATACTGGAGTTCTCTGACTCTCCTCCCATTCCGTGAGTACCTCCCTCAGTGCCCCATGTATACTGGAGTTCTCTGACACTCCTCCCATTCCCGTGAGTACCTCCCTCAGTGCCCCATGTATACTGGAGTTCTCTGACACTCCTCCCATTCCGTGAGTACCTCCCTCAGTGCCCCATGTATACTGGAGTTCTCTGACACTCCTCCCATTCCGTGAGGTGCCTCCCTCAGTGCCCCATGTATACTGGAGTTCTCTGACACTCCTCCCATTCCGTGAGTGCCTCCCTCAGTGCCCCATGTATACTGGAGTTCTCTGACACTCAACCCATTCCGTGAGTACCTCCCTCAGTGCCCCATGTATACTGGAGTTCTCTGACACTCAACCCATTCCGTGAGTGCCTCCCTCAGTGCCCCATGTATACTGGAGTTCTCTGACACTCAACCCATTCCGTCAGTACCTCCCTCAGTGCCCTGTCCATACTGGAGTTCTCTGACCCTCCACTCATTCCGTGAGTACCTCCCTCAGTGCCCTGTGTATACTGGAGTTCTCTGACCCTCCTCCCATTCCGTGAGTGCCTCCCTCAGTGCCCTGTCCATACTGGAGTTCTCTGACACTCCTCCCATTCGTGAGTGCCTCCCTCAGTGCCCCATGTATACTGGAGTTCTCTGACACTCCTCCCATTCCGTGAGTACCTCCCTCAGTGCCCCATGTATACTGGAGTTCTCTGACACTCAACCCATTCCGTGAGTACCTCCCTCAGTGCCCCATGTATACTGGAGTTCTCTGACACTCCTCCCATTCCGTGAGTGCCTCCCTCAGTGCCCCATGTATACTGGAGTTCTCTGACACTCAACCCATTCCGTGGAGTGCCTCCCTCAGTGCCCCCATGTATACTGGAGTTCTCTGACACTCAACCCATTCCGTGAGTGCCTCCCTCAGTGCCCCATGTATACTGGAGTTCTCTGACACTCAACCCATTCTGTGAGTGCCTCCCTCAGTGCCCCATGTATACTGAAGTTCTCTGACACTCAACCCATTCCGTCAGTACCTCCCTCAGTGCCCTGTGTATACTGGAGTTCTCTGACCCTCCACCCATTCCGTGAGTGCCTCCCTCAGTGCCCCATGTATACTGGAGTTCTCTGACACTCAACCCATTCCGTGAGTGCCTCCCTCAGTGCCCCATGTATACTGGAGTTCTCTGACACTCCTCCCATTCCGTGAGTGCCTCCCTCAGTGCCCCATGTATACTGGAGTTCTCTGACACTCCTCCCATTCCGTGAGTACCTCCCTCAGTGCCCCATGTATACTGGAGTTCTCTGACACTCAACCCATTCCGTGAGTACCTCCCTCAGTGCCCCATGTATACTGGAGTTCTCTGACACTCCTCCCATTCCGTGAGTGCCTCCCTCAGTGCCCCATGTATACTGGAGTTCTCTGACACTCAACCCATTCCGTGAGTGCCTCCCTCAGTGCCCCATGTATACTGGAGTTCTCTGACACTCCTCCCATTCCGTGAGGAGTGCCTCCCTCAGTGCCCCATGTATACTGGAGTTCTCTGACACTCAACCCATTCCGTGAGTACCTCCCTCAGTGCCCTGTCCATACTGGAGTTCTCTGACCCTCCACTCATTCCGTGAGTACCTCCCTCAGTGCCCTGTGTATACTGGAGTTCTCTGACCCTCCTCCCATTCCGTGAGTGCCTCCCTCAGTGCCCCATGTATACTGGAGTTCTCTGACACTCCTCCCATTCCGTGAGTGCCTCCCTCAGTGCCCCATGTATACTGGAGTTCTCTGACAGCTCAACCCATTCCGTGAGTGCCTCCCTCAGTGCCCCATGTATACTGGAGTTCTCTGACTCTCTCCCATTCCGTGAGTACCTCCCTCAGTGCCCCATGTATACTGGAGTTCTCTGACTCTCAACCCATTCCGTGAGTACCTCCCTCAGTGCCCCATGTATACTAGAGTTCTCTGACACTCAACCCATTCCGTGAGAGTACCTCCCTCAGTGCCCCATGTATACTGGAGTTCTCTGACACTCAACCCATTCCGTGAGTACCTCCCTCAGTGCCCCATGTATACTGCAGTTCTCTGGCCAGCTCAACCCATTCCGTGAGTACCTCCCTCAGTGCCCCATGTATACTGGAGTTCTCTGACACTCAACCCATTCCGTGAGTGCCTCCCTCAGTGCCCCATGTATACTCAGTGTTCCCGTTTCTCGGTAATTACGGATTTTTACCGATAAACATTGTGAAGATCCGGTATGTTCAACTGCCGTCCGTGGCTGCCGCCGTAAATTTTTGTATTGCTTAAAGTTGCCATTTATCGGCGGCAGATTTAATAAACTTGCAGATAACATCTTCGTTTATTCTTTGTTCTCTTCAGATCATTATGCAAACGTATATTGAAAACTAGGGTGGCAATCCCACATCTAAATATAGACTATATAGTTTTTCACAGTTGTAAGAAGCGATTTTATTGGATAAAGATTGGTTTCTAATGGCGGCTTTTCGCCACAGTCTGCTATAAGGGTGCGTAATTGGTCAAAATCTGACCGTGACCTAAAGCAGCCAATCATATTACGGCAATGGATTCCGTCCCGTAAGCGAAAACTTTTAGATTTAGACAGAAGTTTTGGGTAAAAATAATGCTATTCTGAACATATTAAGCAAGAAATCGCTACCTATCGTAAATTATGGAACTTTTGGACGTATCGTGCTAGGGTTATGACCTGTGACAAATATGCTTCATGTATACATACATTTTCGCATTAAACATCGTGTCCGGCGTGAAGACTGAGGCGGCGTAGAGCCGAGATGTCAGTTGTCAGTGACTTGACTTACATTACATGATCGCACAAAACATGGAAAATAGTAATTTTATATGTACAGCTTTTATGAATGTTGTTGATTTTATTCATTAGTTTATTCAATTTATTTAATGAATTCCTCGAAACATGGTTACTTTGCTCTTTGACAATGTTATTGTGGACCAGCTGCGAAGCATGTGTCCGAGAATCGTTGTTTTCAACTTCGTGAAATGCAGATTGAAATTCACCACGGGTATATAAACACTAATTATTTGCACATTTCACAGTCATTTAGATAGCGAATGACATTCTGAACACATTTATCGAATTTAGTTGGACCGGCTTTCATTTTCTGATTGTGACAAAATCACGAGGACGAGCGGCTATAGATCTATATGCCAAATGCGAATACTTTTGTCAGGGCTTGTAGGTCTAATGAGCATTCTCGAAAAACAAGCAACTTTCGACGGCAGACTTTTCAACACATTTATGTACAGTATATGCCCCTGTGATTACTGATTAATTTGTCTCTCGGATAAAAACTAGTTCAGCGAGATTTTCCAGACCCGTCGGTAAGCCGCCCGGTAAGTTCAAAACCACGGGAACACTGATACTGCAGTTCTCTGACACTCAACCCATTCCGTCAGTACCTCCCTCAGTGCCCTGTGTATACTGGAGTTCTCTGACACTCAACCCATTCTGTGAGTGCCTCCCTCAGTGCCCCATGTATACTGAAGTTCTCTGACACTCAACCCATTCCGTCAGTACCTCCCTCAGTGCCCTGTGTATACTGGAGTTCTCTGACACTCAACCCATTCTGTGAGTGCCTCCCTCAGTGCCCCATGTATACTGAAGTTCTCTGACACTCAACCCATTCCGTGAGTACCTCCCTCAGTGCCCCATGTATACTGAAGTTCTCTGACACTCAACCCATTCCGTGAGTACCTCCCTCAGTGCCCCATGTATACTGGAGTTCTCTGACACTCAACCCATTCTGTGAGTGCCTCCCTCAGTGCCCCATGTATACTGGAGTTCTCTGACACTCAACCCATTCCGTGAGTACCTCCCTCAGTGCCCCATGTATACTGAAGTTCTCTGACGCTCAACCCATTCCGTGAGTGCCTCCCTCAGTGCCCCATGTATACTGGAGTTCTCTGACACTCAACCCATTCCGTGAGTACCTCCCTCAATGCCATGTGTATACTGGAGTTATCTCCCCTCCACTTGTCACCTGTCAACTCACAGCTGTTTCCCAACATTTCAGATGTGCCAACGTGACGGTAACAGAGTACCCAAGATGCGGACAGAACGGAACCGAGTTCATCACAGCAGAGATGCTGCTGATCGACTCTGGCACAGTGCTGCCGATATACTTATACATACTGGCACTGCTTATATTCACTATCATGTTCAGGATTGTTGGTTACTGGGTGCTCCGCTTCCGCAGCAAGCCCCACTGATCCTTCAAAACGTATTTGTTATGAAAATATACCTTAGAAAAGAAGACTAGTTTTGAACAAAATAATGGGGCACTTTGGAAATTCTGCCTTGTGTCTCTGATATGAATATTTTCAGGAAACTTTGCTCATATGTCTCAAGAGATATGTTGTACCTATAGTTTCTGGTCATGGTATTCAGTTACCATTATAGCCGTCATATATGTTTCCATAACATCTAGGAATCTGACCAGGAGTCAACAACAGACAGACCCATTGCCCGGTGTGATCTTAAAACTGTTTGTTGACTGATGTAGCCTGTACTCAACATCATTACAGTTTATTTGGTTTTGTAACTCATTCTGAAGATCATCACAGTTAATTCGGTTTTGTTACTCATACTTATGATAATCTTAGTTCATTGATTGTCGTAATTTATACTTATGATAATCTTAGTTCATTGACTGTCGTAACTCATGCTTATGATAATCTTAGTTTATTGACTGTCGTAACTCATACTTATGATAATCTTAGTTCATTGATAGTCGTAATTCATACTTATGATAATCTTAGTTCATTGATTGTAACTCATACTTATGATAAAGTTCTCATAATTCATACTTATGATAATCTTAGTTCATTGACTGTCGTAACTCATACTTATGATAATCTTAGTTCATTGACTGTCGTAACTCATACTTATGATAATCTTAGTTCATTGACAGTCGTAATTCATACTTATGATAATCTTAGTTCATTGATAGTCGTAATTCATACTTATGATAATCTTAGTTCATTGACTGTCGTAATTCATACTTATGATAATCTTAGTTCATTGACTGTCGTAATTCATACTTATGATAATCTTAGTTCATTGACTGTCGTAATTCATACTTATGATAATCTTAGTTCATTGACAGTCGTAATTCATACTTATGATAATCTTAGTTCATTGACTGTCGTAACTCATGCTTATGATAATCATTGACAGTCATAACTCGTCTGTACATCTAGAATGTTGTGAGGGGCCTTGACACAGGCTCATCTGTTGGCTTTAGGTTGTTGAACCAGTGATGCATTTGCCCTGCAGAGGAACCTGACAAAACAGGACACTGATTAATCCAGACTTCTGTCAATTCTGGACCAGACTAATGTTTCAGAATACAGAAATAGTATTATTTCTTTAAGCTTTACCCTTTTTCTATATGTCCTGCAACAATCTGGCAAATTCCGACTTGTTTGTAGTCCTAGCATCCATACTGAAGGTCCCGAGGAAGTCTGGTTTACACAGTTATCATACTCGGAATCCTTTAAGTGTTGTTGTTATCTTGTATTTGTTGTTTTATTGATGTTGGTTTTTTTATTTGTTTCTTGATTATTGTACCCGTAGAGGCATCCTCGATAATCTCCAGGGTATACGTTACGATCACTCTCCACTATACCCTGGATGCATCCGCTATCTTTGTTGACACTGGCAAGCTCGGATGTAACTGTGGCTTAGCCGATTGGCTACTGTGAGAATGTGGAGCCAGGAAAGGAAGGTAAGCCAAGCCGTGGATGCATCCAGGGTATAGTGGAGGGTGATCGTAACGTATACCCTGGAGATTATCGAGGATGCCGTAGAGGAAGAATGTGTTTGTTTTTACACATGAGGCCAATTCTTAGCCGTTTTGTCACTGTACTATTTCTACATATTTATTCACCTTCACTCTTCAATTTGCTTGCACACCTGCCATTAATGTTGACAATCAGCATGAATTATGGGCATTTTATAACTTCTGTTGCAAGATCTGTCTTTCTCGATATGCCATGAATGTTTTTAGTTTTTGTCGGCCCCATACCTGTCGTGGTTTGACCAAAGTGGTAAAAGTCTGCATTTAAAGGCCCTGCATTACTTGGGTTTGTCATTTTCCAGAGGGAAACTGGTTTAGGCAAGCAGGGTTGCCTAAGACACAATTTTGTAGCAGTGATTCCGCGATTCACTTGACAAATGTTTGATAGCCTTTTGTTGTGTATGTAATATGGCATTGAACAAAACTAAACAGTCAGAATGACAAGACAACTGTCTGGAAGTGGACAGTTTTAACAAATTGTCAGAATTTCATTATATACTACTCACACCTTGCTAAGGATCACAAAAATTCACAACTTTACTTAAACATAGGTTTATAATTTGAAACTGTATCCATTTAAAACTGGATAAATAATAATATGGTAACCCTTCTTTAGGCAAACAGCCACTTTATGCTCACCTTATGCACTTGATACACGAGTAACCATAAAAATGGTTTTCATGGCACCAATCAACCATTTTGCAAATCATGGCAATACCTGTCAATAGCAGGTATGGGATCCACAAGATGCAGTGACATACTGAAACCTAGGATCCATACTTACAATAAGCTTAGATATTATAACCAAATTAGACCCCCTCTCATAGTTTTCTGTTGAATCAATGATTTGATCCTTAGCAAAGTGTGAATAGTGTAGTTTTGCCTGGCCTTGTCATTATGTGTGTACATGTAGATATAGCATGTCTGATCTTAGGATGATTGTGTTAATATAGATGTGGCATGTCTGATCTTAGGATGATTGTGTGTACATGTAGATATAGCACGTCTGATCTTAGGATGATTGTGTGTTCATATAGATATGGCATGTCTGATCTTAGGATGATTGTGTTAATATAGATGTGGCACGTCTGATCTTAGGATGATTGTGTTAATATAGATGTGGCACGTCTGATCTTAGGATGATTGTGTTAATATAGATGTGGCACGTCTGATCTTAGGATGATTGTGTTAATATAGATGTGGCACGTCTGATCTTAGGATGATTGTGTTAATATAGATGTGGCATGTCTGATCTTAGGATGATTGTGTGTACATGTAGATATAGCATGTCTGATCTTAGGATGATTGTGTGTTCATATAGATATGGCACGTCTGATCTTAGGATGATTGTGTTAATATAGATGTGGCACGTCTGATCTTAGGATGATTGTGTTAATATAGATGTGGCACGTCTGATCTTAGGATGATTGTGTTAATATAGATGTGGCACGTCTGATCTTAGGATGATTGTGTTAATATAGATGTGGCACGTCTGATCTTAGGATGATTGTGTTAATATAGATGTGGCACGTCTGATCTTAGGATGATTGTGTTAATATAGATGTGGCATGTCTGATCTTAGGATGATTGTGTGTACATGTAGATATAGCACGTCTGATCTTAAGATGATTGTGTGTACATGTAGATATAGCATGTCTGATCTTAGGATGATTGTGTGTTCATATAGATATAGCATGTCTGATCTTAGGATGATTGTGTGTTCATATAGATATGGCTTGTCTGATCTTAGGATGATTGTATGTTCATATAGATGTGGCATGTGTGACCTTCGAATGATTGTGTGTTCATATAGATGTGGCTTGTCTGATCTTAGGATGATTGTGTGTTCATATAGATGTGGCACGTCTGATCTTAAGATGATTGTGTGTTCATATAGATATGGCACGTCTGATATTAGGATGATTGTATGTTCATATAGATATGTCACGTCTGATCTTAGAATGATTGTATGTTCATATAGATATGGCACGTCTGATCTTAGAATGATTGTGTGTTCATATAGATATGGCACGTCTGATCTAAGAATGATTGTATGTTCATATAGATATGGCACGTCTGATATTAGGATGATTGTGTGTTCATATAGATATGGCACGTCTGATATTAGGATGATTGTGTGTTCATATAGATATGGCACGTCTGATCTTAGAATGATTGTATGTTCATATAGATATGGCACGTCTGATATTAGGATGATTGTGTGTTCATATAGATATGGCATGTCTGATATTAGAATGATTGTATGTTCATATAGATATGGCATGTCTGATATTAGAATGATTGTATGTTCATATAGATATGGCACGTCTGATATTAGGATGATTGTGTGTTCATATAGATATGGCACGTCTGATATTAGGATGATTGTGTGTTCATATAGATATGGCACGTCTGATCTTAGAATGATTGTGTGTTCATATAGATATGGCACGTCTGATCTTAGAATGATTGTATGTTCATATAGATATGGCACGTCTGATATTAGGATGATTGTGTGTTCATATAGATATGGCACGTCTGACCTTAGAATGATTGTGTGTTCATATAGATATGGCACGTCTGATATTAGGATGATTGTGTGTTCATATAGATATGGCACGTCTGACCTTAGAATGATTGTATGTTCATATAGATATGGCACGTCTGATCTTAGGATGATTGTGTGTTCATATAGATGTGGCACGTCTGACCTTAGAATGATTGTGTATTCACATAGATGTGACATGTCTGACCTTAGGATGATTGTGGTCATATAGATGTGGCATGTCTGGACAAAAACATATTCCATCCTTTCAGAATTGTCCCACATCAGATGGAAGGAAGGAGTGTTTTAGTGTACAGTGATCGTACGGAAGCTTCTAATTTCATGTCATTTTAATGATTGTGGCCCCAAGTGGTGCTGAATGATTCCGGTTAAAAATAGACACGCCAAACTCTGATACCGGTTACCACAGATATGGCAAGCTCCATATGTTAGATAAACACGCAACCCCTTGATTTTGGGAGCAATATGTTCGAGGGTATTTATCTGACAATAACTGGAGAGATAACTCTGTATTAGTGCGGATGCTGAACACTTTGAACTAGTGTTTTGAACTGAGTCCCTGTTGTTAAGTTTTGTCAGTTTCCATGGTTACAGGTATGTATGTTTATCTGCCTGCAAGAAATTGATGTTATTCCTTTGTTGGTGCCTTACCAATCTCATCAAAATCCAAACATGGCTCTCAGAAATCACAGGATGTGTAAAATGTTCACCAAAAGATACGAGTATATAGTTGTCACTCTCCAACTCTCCAGTATATTTGTTATGTAATGTAGTACAAATGCATATTATCTTATGCAGCATCAGCAGTTTTCTACCTACTTACTGTGAGTTGTTCAACTGGCAGATTAAGACTTTAATATCACACAAATTCCTCTGGAGGTTATCTCAAGTCTTCACTCAGAGTAAACTATCCGATTTTAATGAGATTGGTACTTTACAAAGTTTTGAAACAAAGTGACACAAAAAGCAACCTGTACAAACCAAAACTTTGCTATAAAGTACGGACCAGATAAACGGGTTTTATTGAACAATTGTACAACAGTGGAGCCCTTGTACTCGAGACACTCTTTTTGTGGAAAATCAAATGGGACAATCCACATCTTGAAATACAGACATGAGGATTGTGACACGATTTTCTGTCCCGTTTGATTTTCCCTAAAAAGAACGTCTCCAGTAAAAAGGGCTCTGCCACTGTTGAGACAGTTCCTCCTGTGACCTGTCATAGGAATTTTTAAAGTCCCATTCACTCAATCATCTGGAGAAATAT